AAAACTCAGCTTAACTTGATGAGGATCTGTCAGACAGATCTCCTTCACAGCGACCATACCACTTTCCACGTCCATCAAGTGTGTGAACTTCTGACTTCCGGGCTAGAGAGACAGCTCAGCCAGTGAATACAGAAAAAGTCCCCATCAGACATGGGATTTACCGAGGTCCTCTGCTGTTCTTGTCGGTTAACATTTCAGGGGCATGTTGGTGGACATGGGGGCTCATGTGGAGCAGGTTAGCAGGACCTGGGTCGAGGCAGTGACTGTCAGAAGCAAACATCTTCGACAAAGTCCTGACCATGAGAGAGGAGGCTGGGAATACAAATGTTCCATAAAACATGGCTCCTGGGGATGTGGCTGCCCCGGGTTCAGTTTCCATCACTGTGTAAACCAGGTGTGCACACCTCTAATCCCAGCACTCAGGAGGTAGAGGCAGGGGGATCAGGTTACCCTCAGCTACATAATGAGTTTGAGGATAGCCTATGCTACATAAGACCCTTTCATGAAATTAAATAGATAAATAAATAAATAGTAAGTAAGTAAATAAAAAAGCTGGGGAGATGCTTCAGAGGGTAGAGAGCTTGCAGAGCAAGCATGAAGACCTGAGATCAGATTCCCAGAACTTACATACAAGCCACATGCATTGGCATGTAATAATCCCAGTGTTCCTATGACAAGCTGAGCGGCAGAGATGGGCGGATCCTCGGAGCTTGCAGCCCGCTAGCCTGCTGTGCACAGTAGTGAGCACCAAATGACCCCGTCTCAAATAAGGTGGTAGGTGAGGACCAGCATCGAGGTTGTTCTCTGACCTGACTTGAACCTTGGGGATGTGCACACCTTTTCACCCCCCCCACAACACCCCCCCCCCCACACACACACATGCATGCACGCACACAAAGGTTAAAGAAGAAACAAACCCGTAAGTAGGCAGAGGGTGTAGCTTGGTGGTAGAATGAATTCTGAGCCATGGTGTGTGCAAAGCCCTGGGCTGCAGCCTTAGAGTGTGGACACACACCTAAAGATAACATATGGGCACCCCTGGCACTCTGAGGTAATCCTGGGCTCTGGGTGGGAATCTGCCTGCTCTTCCTTATAGTGTGTATTGCAGTTTGTAAGGATAACTGCACCCAAGGGATTCCGGGTGGTCATCCATGACCACTTAGAATCTGAAGGGCTGGCACAACCCATGTGAAAAGTCTAGGGCTGTGGTCAGCATGACAGTCCTCATTCCTGCCTGCTCTTGGGTAGCTGGCAGGTTGGTTAAACATCAGAGCCAAAATTGCAGTCCATGTTTTGACTCTTCTGGAATGTGAGAGAGGATAAGGAGCCTGGCAGAGACCCAGAGGGCACTGGGTCACCCCCAACCCAGTGCACTTTTGTCTGTAGCTGGGCAGGGAGGTGAGTAGATCTGTGTGCAGGCTGTAGACCTAGGCTCACCAGCTGCAACTGGATCCCTTCTCTCTGTGCCCTCAGTCTATAAATAGATCCCACATCAGGGGCGAGGCACAGCTAGAGGCCAGACCAGACGACTCAAACTCTTAACCTCCACCCCACACACAGGCAGCAGTGACTTCTAGGCCTCTGAGAACTCCGGGATATGTGCCAGCTACTCTGTCCCTCCCCATGGCCGTCAGACCAGTGGCAGGCCTTGTGCTGGGTGTGGCCATACCCATGAAGAACTGTGAGGGCAGGGGCTGGGGAGGTGCTTCAGTGGGTAAAAAGCATTTGCAGTTCAGGTGTGAGGATCTGAGTTCGAATCCTCAGACCCCACAAATAAAGCTATGATAGTGAGCATTTGTAACTCCAGCATTCCTATATGGAGATGGGAAGTGGGCCAGCTAGCCTGGTGTGTGCACAGGAAAAGCAACAGATCCTGTCTCAAACATGGTAGACAGTGAGGACCAACATAGAAGGCTGTCCTCTGATGTGTACACACACATACACACACTCAGACACACACAGACACACACAGACACACACAGACACACACACACACACACACACACACACACACACACACACACACACACCTGCACTAGTGGCCTGATTCAATTGCCAAGGCCAAGGATTTTTAACAACTTATTTATTTATTTATTTATTTTTGAGTAAAACCAAAACTTATTCTAAGCATGGTTCTGTGGGTTGCAGTCTGATTGTTCTTTGCTTTATATCTAGAATCCACTTATGAGTGAGTACATGCCATGTGTTGTCCTCCTGGATTTGGGTTACCTCACTCAGGATGATATTTTCTATTTCCATCCATTTGCCTGCAAATTTCATGCTGTTGTTGTTTTTCTCTGCTGAGTAGTACTCCATTGTGTATATGTACCACATTTTCTTAATCCATTCTTCAGTTGACGGGCATCTAGGTTGTTTCCAGGTTTTTGCTATTACAAATAGTGCTGCTATGAACATAGTTGAGCATGTTTCTTTGTGATATGATTGACATTCCTTGGGTATATGCCCAAGAGTGGTATGGCTGGGTCTTGAGGTAGATCAATTCCCAGTTTTCTGAGAAACCACCATGCTGATTTCCACAGTGGTTGTACAAATTTGCACTCCCACCAACAGTGGAGGAGTGTTCCCTTTGCTCCACATCCTCTCCAACATAGACTGTCATTAGTGTTTTTGATCATAGCCATTCTGACAGGTGTAAGGTGGTATCTTAGAGTCGTTTTGATTTGCATTTCTCTGATGATTAAGGATGTTGAGCATTTCTTTAAATGTCTTTCAGCCATTTGTGATTCTTCTTTTGAGAATTCTCTGTTTAGCTCTTTAGCCCATTTTTTAATTGGACTGTTTAGTATTTTGATGTCTAGTCTCTTGAGTTCTTTATATACATTGGAGATCAGTCCTCTGTTAGATGTGGGGTTGGTGAAGGTCTTTTCCCATTCTGTTGGCTGTCTTTTGGTCTTATTGACTGTGTCTTTTGCCCTACAAAAGCTTCTCAGTTTCAAGAAGTCCCATTTATTAATTGTTGTGCTCAGTGTCTGTGCTGCTGGTGTTATATTTAGGAAGTGATCTCCTATGCCAATGCATTCAAGAGTACTTCCTACTTTCTCTTCTATTAAGTTTAGTGTAACTGGATTTATGTTCAGGTCTTTGATCCACTTGGACTTGAGTTTTGTGCATGGTGACAGACATGGATCTATTTGTAATCTTTTACATATTGACATCCAGTTATGCCAGCACCATTTGTTGAAGATACTTTCTTTTTTCCATTGTATAATTTTGGCTTCTTTGTCAAATATCAAGTGTTCATATTGTTCATATGTGCGTGGATTAATGTCAGGGTCTTCAGTTTGATTCCATTGGTCTATATGTCGGTTTAAAACAGCTTGGTACTGGATTTTCAAGCTTTCCTTCTGCCAATTTTTTTGTTGTTGTTGTTTTGTTTTTTGAGACAGGGTTTCTCTGTGTAGCTTTGGAGCCTGTCCTGAAACTCGTTCTGTAGCCCAGGCTGGCCTTGAACTCACAGAGATTCGCCTGCCTCTGCCTCCCAAGTGCTGGGATTAAAGGCTTGCGCCACCACTGCCCGGCTCTTCTGCCAATTTTTATGTGCTAATTTTGTAAGGTTTTGCACAAAGCCTTCCCCAACCTTATTCTCTGCCCTGTTCTCCTGCCTTAGCAATTTGAGAGTCCAGATGGAAGACACACTTCTGTCCATCCAGGCTTCCGAGGTCACACAAATGGTTAGCAAATGTGGACACCCTAGTCTGGAAGCCTGGCGGGGTCAGGTGGGATGCCCCCAGGTTCTAGGTGGCTGGACAGAGGGTCTCCATAGCCAACCTGTAGAGCACTTGCCCCTGACACCCCGGCTCATCTCCTAAGGGGTGCCTAGCGTTGGTGCAGAGGGACTTCTCCTGCAGCCAGTGCTTGCTCAGGATTTACAACACCTGCGAGAGTAGGTGTGCCCAGCCCTTTCAACTTATTTCTGCAACCTTGTAAGGGACGCTCTGTTATCTTTGTGTGTGTGTGTGTGTGTGTGTGTGTGTGTGCGTGTGCGCGCGCGCGCGCGCGCACGCGCGCGCACACACGTGCGCGCAGGCCAGAGATCAATGTCAGGTATCTTTTCCAGTCTCTCCCCATCTTATTTTTTTGAGGCAGGGTCTCTCACTGGGACCTGAGACCAATTCAACTAGACTGGAAGGCCAGTGGTTCCCAAGGGATCTTCCTGATTCTGTACATAGGAGCATATATGCTACCACCCCTGAGTTTTGTACATGGATTCTGGAGATCCCAAGTCAAGCTTGTGTGGCAAGCATCTTATCCTCCGAGCCATCTCCCCATCCCAGGCCATTGCTATTTTACCATTCTTCTCTGTAGAAACAAGTGCAATCAGTGTCAGCAGCCATCACTGCCACGTCACGGCATCATTCGCCATGCTGGAATTCTTGCTTTTCAGCTGCTGAGAGGCTTCACCCCGATTCCTTTCCTCTGCCATGTTCTCTCCAGTTTCCCTGTCTTCGCTCTTTCCCCATGTGTCTGTGTGTGGCATGTGTGCATGAGGACACACATGCCTGCGGAAGCCAAAGGCTAGCCTCTCTCTATTCTCTGTTGTTCTCCACCTTACTCAACGAGGCAGGGTCTCCCGGTGAACCCAAAGCTCACCAGTATGACTAGTCTAGCTATTCAGTGTGCTCCAGGGTTCCCCTCTCTCTGCTTTCTGAGTTCTGGGCCCACCCAGCCTTTATGTGGGTGCTGGGAATCCAAGCTCTGGTCTTCATGCTTGCATGGCAAGGTCTTTACCTACTGAGCCATCTTTCCAGCCTTTATTTTCTGTCTTTCCAGCCCTCCTTGGTGGGGAGGAGTGCCCCCCCCCACTCCCAGTGCATTTTCCGGGTAGGGGCTGCTCTTGCTCAGCTCGTCCCTTGCATTTGCAAATGGAATACCCAGTGACGTCTGCTGGATGAAGGCCAGAGTGGGAGGCAGGGGGTGGGGTGGGGTGGGCAGACACCCTGGGAGCCCTCTAGTGACCAGGTCTCCGCATTCTCTTACAGCCACCGCCATGTCGGGGGAGATGGACAAGCCGCTGATCAGTCGCCGCCTGGTGGACAGTGATGGCAGCCTGGCTGAGGTCCCCAGCAAGGCCCCCGAAGTGGGCATCCTGGGCAGTGGGGATTTTGCCCGCTCCCTGGCTACGCGCCTGGTGAGCTCTGGCTTCAGCGTGGTGGTGGGGAGCCGTAACCCCAAACGCACGGCCGGCCTCTTCCCCTCGGCAGCCCAAGTGACTTTCCAAGAGGATGCTGTGAGCTCTCCTCAGGTCATCTTTGTGGCCATGTTCCGGGAGCACTATCCCTCCCTGTGCTGTCTTGGTGAGCAGTTGGCCGGCAAGATCCTAGTGGACGTCAGCAACCCCACAGAGAAGGAGCATCTGGAACACCGCCAGTCTAACGCCGAGTACCTGGCCTCGCTCTTCCCTGCCTGCACTGTGGTCAAGGCCTTCAACGTCATCTCTGCATGGGCTCTACAGGCTGGCCCAAGGGATGGGAACAGACAGGTATGTGCTAGGGAATGGCCGTCAGCATCCTTCACATCACTATATAACAATCTCGTCTTACACAGCGGGAGGACAAAGCTTGGAGACGTTAATGATGTTAGCCTGGTGCTGGTGAATTGGAATTTGAACCCTATATGGACATGGGATCCATGTTCTTCTTGAGATGGGAACTGGGTTTCCTCCGAGTAAGAAGATGGTGGCTGTTGACTTGGGAGGAGTCAAGAAGGAGATATTTTGGGGTTGGGGAGATGGTGCGGTGGGTAAAATGCATGCTATGTAACCATTAGAACCTAAGTTTAGATACCCATGAAAACGATGGGTGGTGGTTGTGATCCCAGCACTAGGGGGTAGAGACAGGGGAACCCCTAACGCTTGGTAGCCAACCAGTCTAGCCAAAAAGGCAAGCTTCAGGTTCAGTGAGAGACTCTATTTCAAAAACCGAAGTGGAAAGGGATAGAATAAGACACCTGACTTCACCTCTGTCCTCAGCATGCACATACACACATGTAAACACACATGAACTCATATGTACCCACCTACATCCATCCTCACCAACACCACACAACCAAAAGAAAGCCCTACTCCGTACATACGGTAGAATGTCCACCAATAAACCTCCCCAGGGCCCAGCTCTGAGCGAATCTAGAGTACCTGGCTATCCCCCACTGTGTGGCCTAGATGTGGCTGCGCCGTGGGACTGGACAGGTACAGTGGACAGGTCCCATGTCCTGCTGTTGCTGTGATAAAACACTGTCTGAAAGCACCTTGGGGGACAGAGGGCTTATTCCAGCCTACAGGTCACAGTCCATCACCCAGGCCTCTGTGCGAGTCCATGCAGCATCACTTCTGTGCTGGGAACTCACTCCCAGCCAAGGAAGTACCCCAAAAACCATGGAGGAACGCTGCTCGCTGGCTCATCCAGGCTCATGATTAACTACCTTTCTTAATACAGCTCAGGGCCCCCTGCCTAGGAACGGTGCCTCCCACAGGGGGCTGGGCCCTCCTGCATCAATTAACAATTAAGACACTCCCCCATAGACATCCCAGCGGGTCCATCTGATCTGAGCAGTCCCTTCGTTGAGGCTCTCCTCTCAGATGACTTAATGGCCATGTTGACAGTCCAAGCTGACTAGGACAGAGGGCTTGGAGGGCACAGAGCAAGAGGACTTGCTGGAGAACGCCATCAGCTGGCCTTAGACTCAGACTCAGGAAGCAGGAAGGGCACCCCAGGCTGATTTGACAACCTGCAAAGGTACCAGAGTAAAAATGGAGGCTCTCAGACCTCAGTCTGTTCATCTGAAAGATGGAGGTATATTAGTACTGACCTGCAGGCTGTGCAGGAGGCCGAGATCACTACTCAGACTAGATAGAACCTCAGCTGTGTCAACAAGGGCGCTCACGGCGCTCACGGCGCTCACGGCGCTCACGGCGCTCACGGCGCTCACGGCCCTCACGGCCCTCACGGCGCTCACGGCCCTCACGGCCCTCACGGCCCTCACGGCGCTCACGGCCCTCACGGCCCTCACGGCCCTCACGGCCCTCACGGCCCTCACGGCCCTCACGGTCCTCACGGCCCTCACGGTCCTCATGGTCCTCACGGTCCTCACGGTCCTTACGGTCCTTGGGGACCCAAAGACACCAACATGTCTTCCATTGGAGCTCGGGAGGTACAGTGGACCTACAGCCTGAGACAGCAGGGCAGGCAGGGCTGGGGACAGAGGTCTCTGGGGAACCAAGGGATCGCACCATAGAGAACACCTCTGCCCTGAAGGATGCTTCTGCAGTTGCTGCTGCACATTCAGCCGCCACATGCAAGAGGCAGTCACTGAGAAGTAGCTCTTGCAGAGGTGACATGGGCTGCCTGACTGAGCATCTACTGTGACAGTGATGTGACCGAGCCAGCAGGACATCCATAGGGAGAGCTTTGTCTCTTCAGTGGTGGATCCCAGCGGGAGGCCACAGGGCCCCTGTCCCCAGATCCTTGGCTTGAGCACTGGAGCCATCTTGCACTTAGTTGTATCATCGATTTGGCCTCTCGCTGGAACCGGTGCCTGCCCCTCTGTGCCTCGGTTTCTTCAACTCCCCGAGGAGCTTGACCCTGGCAGTCATCATAGCCATGCCTGTGACTCTAGCCAACTGTCCCCTTCTCTCTTCCTGCAGGTGCTCATCTGCAGTGACCAGCTGGAAGCCAAGCACACCGTCTCCGAGATGGCACGTGCCATGGGTTTCACACCCCTGGACATGGGATCCCTGGCCTCAGCCAGGGAGGTGGAAGCCATACCCCTGCGCCTCTTTCCTTCCTGGAAGGTGCCCACCCTTCTGGCACTGGGGCTCTTTGTGTTCTTCTATGCCTACAACTTCATCCGGGACGTCCTGCAGCCGTACGTACAGAAGAACGAGAACAAGTTCTACAAGATGCCCTTGTCTGTGGTCAACACCACACTACCCTGCGTGGCTTACGTGCTGCTGTCCCTGGTGTACCTGCCTGGTGTGCTGGCAGCCGCCCTTCAGCTGAAGAGGGGGACCAAGTACCAGCGCTTCCCGGACTGGCTGGACCACTGGATGCAGCATCGCAAGCAGATCGGGCTGCTCAGCTTCTTCTTCGCGGTGCTGCATGCTCTCTACAGCTTCTGCCTGCCGCTGCGCCGCTCCCACCGCTACGACTTGGTCAACCTGGCTGTGAAGCAGGTATGAACCGCCACCTCCCCTGGGAGCTATCTGGGTACCATTGTGGGTTGTCCTCACTCATGTATACTTAAGCGAGGCAAAGCCGAGGGAGAGCAGGTACCTAGAAGTTCTGAGCACTGAGGAGGAGGACATAGCAGGGAAAGAGTGCCAGCGCACGTGTGAGCGTGTGAGCGTGTGAGCGTGTGAGCGTGTGAGCGTGTGAGCGTGTGAGCGTGTGAGCGTGTGAGCGTGTGTGAGCGTGTGTGAGCGTGCGTGAGCGTGTGAGAGCGTGTGTGAGCGTGTGTGAGCGTGTGTGAGCGTGTGTGTTGCTGCCTATAAGTGTGGGTACGTACCTGCCATGGAGCACTTGTCGAGGCCTCCATGTTGGTCCTCACCTCCTACCTTGTTTGAGGCAGGGTCTGTTGTCGTTTGCCTCTGCTTACCCTAGACTAGCTGTCCTTCAGGTTTCTGGAGAGTCTCCTGTCTGTGCATCCCTCCTCCCCACAGGAGTGCTGGGACTGTAGACGTGCACTACAGCACCCAACATTCTGCGGTTTTTGGGGACCTGAAGTCAGATCTATGGCTTGCACAATAAGTGAATGACCCACCGGGCCATCTCCCAACCCAGCCTCGTCTTTCAAAACAGTCTTTCCGCGTCCTGGAACTCACCAAGTAGGCTGGGCTTCCTAACCTCGGCCCCAGGTGTCCACCTGTTCCCACCTCCTGAGCATTGGGATTACAGACACCACCGCGCCACGCCCAGCTCGTTAGACTTGGATTCCAGGGGACTGGATCGGGTCCTCATGCTCCTATGACAAGCACTTTACCAGCTGAGCCATCTGCCAGCCTCGGGCACATTCGAAAGACGGCAAAGGAGGCTTTGCTGCTTGGGTGGTGTAGGAGCAGGGGCGAGCTAGACAGGTGTTCGGGGCCCAGGGCAGCAAGAGCAGCCCCCCTAGGAGCAACTGGGAGGCTGGGGAGCTGGAGCCAAGGAAGACCTGAGGCCTGGGAGGCCGGGAGATGCCTTCGCGTTGAGCCCGGAGTTAAACAGAGCCCGGGGGGGGGGGGGGGGGGGGGGCGGGGGGGGTTTGAGCTGAGGAGCAAGGATCTGCCTGATGCTTTGACCAGCTCCCTGGCTGCCAGGTTCCAGACGAGAGGGGTCGAAGGCAGACACTGGAGACCCCAGAGGAGGTAAATGTGGTTCATGCCCCCCACATGCACGGCATGGAGTGGGACGAGAGAGGCTGTGGCGGGGATACAGAGGGCGTATTTTAAGCTCGCGCACGCAGAGCTACTGACTGAAGGAATGGGTGTGGTGTCTAGACGGTTTAAAGGTGGGTCTGGGTTGGGACCGAGCACCCAGAAGACAGCTGCCACTTGCTGAGATGGGAAAGGGCAAGGAACCGGTTTTGATTTATGAGGTTGTGTTTGCTTGCTGGTTTGTTTGCTCTCTCTGTGTGTAGGTCAGAGGACAACCTCAGGTGTCGTATCTGAGATGGTGTCCCGTTGGCCTAGAATGTCACTACCTAGGCTGGACTAGGTGGCCAGCAAGCTCCAGAATCTACCTGTCTCCACCTCTCATCTTTGCATCCCTGAAATTAAAAGTGTGTGCGCATGTGCATGTGTGCATGTGTGTGTGCGCGCGCGTGTGACCTCGCTGAGGCTTTTATGGCAAGCACTTTACCCACTGAACCATCTCCCCAGCCTGTGCCTTATTTGTGGATTTTGGGATTCAAGTTCAGATCCTCACATTTGCAAGACAAGCACTTTACCCACTGAGATGCCGCCTCAGCTCCCGTTTTCAAACGAGACGTGGTCTTATTTACTCGTTTAAGAAAGCCTTATGGCACCACTTTGCCCAGTGGGTTCTTGGACAGCGGGGGGGTGGGGAGTGGAGGGGTGTCTCTGAGCCAAGGGAGTCCGTCGGACAGTGGCGTCAGCAGGCAGCGGTGCATACAGAAGCAGCTTGTCCACATCTGTCTCGCCTGCTTTCCTGCTCGGTCCTCTACTCTTAGCCCCGAGTTCAGGAGTAAACATGCCTCTGCTTTTCTTTTCCTGTGTCAGCCTCGGGCCCCAGCTTGGCGGCTGCATCCTGCCCATGTAGGACACCAGTCACCCAGCAGGGTTCAGGGCAGCGCTAACAAAGTTCATCTCACCCACCCTCACTCCAGCTGCAGAAGCTGCTCAGGGTGCAGGGACCCCATAAGGCCAAACCCCGCCCTGACATGCTCACCTGGGGACAGGGGGTGAGGACATGCCGCTGCTGGACCACAGGCCTCCAGCCCTGCCCACTTCAGGCTCCTGCCAATGGCGTCTCAGAGGCCGCCATCTTCCCACCCACAGGCACCTGGCACCACCTCTGTGGGCTCAGGCTTTGCTCAGAGAGGAAGCACCAGACTCAGGCAGAGGAGTGAGGTCCGGGCTGGATCTGAGAAGGGAGAAAATAATAGCCACAGGTTCTTCCAAAGGCGCTCTCCCACCGTGTTCCAGGCACGCTGGAAGAGCTGTGCAAACCCATGGCGGATTCGTCTGCTACATTAATCCAGTGATGCCTTCACACCAACTTCATGGCCCAGTTGGCACAGCTGGATCATCTCACTCCCACAGGACACAGAGTCTGTCCCCTAAAGGGGCTTCAGCTGTTTTGCCAAATTCTCAAGGGGAGAGCCAGGCTGATGGAGCATGCCTAGGGCAGCACTCAGAGAAAGGCTGGGGTCTAACATGCCAAAGCCTGGCAACGATGAGCCCGTTCAACCCGGGTGTGACTGGCAGGTGACTGGTGGGCCCCTGACGAGCTGCATCTTTGGGTCCCAGGCCTGGACACTGTTGGGGAATGTCGTATCCACTTTCTAAAGTCTTACCTGCAGGAAGCGGTCACCCTTGCCAGCTCTTGGCCACCTCAGGCCACAGTGCCTGCCTGTGGCCACTGCTCACACTGGCTGCTGCAGAGCCTTGTGGGAACCGGGAGCACACTAGTATTAACAGAGACGCAGGGAACCCCTCTGAGATTTCCTTGACTCTCAGACAGTGCAGCCTAGGAGGCCAAGGCCTTCAAGACCATGTTAGCCGACAGCATCCTTACTGTCTCTCACTTGTGTTGCCTGGCCTGTTCCTGCCTGGAGAGACATTTCCTGATTAGTCAGAAGTCAAGGTCAGAGGCGACATTTGACCCACAGGCTCCCCTCCCCCCTAAGCGTGGGACCACCAGAGAAGAGGTACAACTTAGCTAACTGTGGGCCCGGGGAGTCACTCAACAAAGTTCTTGCCTTGCAGGCATGGGGATCTGAGTTTGATCAACCCCCCCCCCTCCACCCCGCCCCAGAGCCATTTAAAATGCTGGGAGTGATGGCATGTGCCTACCATCCCTGGCTGGGAAGGCGGAGACAGGCAGATCCCCCGGGGCTCTCTGGCCAGCAGCCTAGCTCCCTTGCCAAGTTCCACATTCAGTAAGAAATCATCTTAGTAAACAAGGTGCACAGCTCCTGAAGAATGACGACACCCAACGCTGACCTCTGACCTCCACACAAACTAAAACACACATGCACTCACACCACAAATGTGGCAATGATCCAGACCCCCCAGGCTTGTTCCCTGACCTTCCCGCCTCATCCCTGCAGGGCGGGGAGTGGGGAGGAGCACCGGTTTTGCAAGCCACTGTTGACTGACCACACTGCAGTCATGCGCAGCGGAAGGACTTGTGATATTAGCCACGTGAGCTCAGCCAGCTGATGAGTAGTGAGTGAACAGCAGAGCATAGGGAGATGACTCGCTTCACCAACACCACCAGCCGTGAGTCAGTCCTGTTGGGGGGCTGCTCCGACAGGGACCTGTGCCCTGTGGCAGGGTCAGGCCAGTCTCTCCCCACTAACAAACACTGATCCAGCTGGTTTTACCACATCGGGATTACCCACCAAAATCCCAGCTTGTTTGGATCTGTCCGATAAAGAAACAGGTCCAGAGACGATGTCTCAGAGTCCCACGAGGCTGGTGGTCAGGAAAGAAGCAGGTCTCCCAACTCCTGTCCTTTGTGGCCTTCGGACACCAATATGAAGAAGCCGACCCTAAATGATACAGAGTGGGAAACGGAGGATGCAGCTCAGCCAGTAGAGCGCCTGCTCAGCACGCACAAAGAGACACCCACAGCCTGGCAGTGTGGCAAAGCTGGAGGTGATGGCATCTACTGGGGAAGCGGAGGCAGGAGGATTGGAATTCAAGGTCATCCTTGGCTACCTCGTGAGTTGGAGGGCAGCTTGGGTTACATGAGACCCTGTGTGATAAAAAACAAACACAAAAAAACAAACAAGCAAACAAAAAGCCATCTTTTTTACTCTGCAGGCAGAGTGGCCACAGATGATATTTTCTTGACTTATTTAGTTTCTTTTAATAAGCTTTGCGGCCATTTTTGCTTAGACCCTGGATTCATTTTTAATATTTTATTCTAGTAATAGGCTTACACTATTTTCTTTTCCTGCTGAAGTAGTCACACACGGGGGCACACACACACACACACACACACACACACACACACACACACACACACGTCTGAGTCATCCTGTAGGAGAGGTAGAGAGCAGCCTGCTTCGCCTTCTTTCCTTGGGGAGGCTTTCTTGCTTTTCTGATGGCAGATTAAAGGACTAGCATTCAGGGCTGAGCTGGGAAGTGATGACAGTCCTAATGGAATGACCTTGATTCCAGTTCTTCCCCACGTAGGTGCTGGGTCAGGGAGCGCCAGTGGGTGAGGAGGGGCCACCTCAGGGCTGCAGAGCATCCCTGGTGTCCGTGTGTGTGTGTGTGTGTGTGTGTGTGTGTGTGTGTGTGTGTGTGTGTGTCTGTGTGTGTGTGTCTGTGTCTGTGTCTGTGTCTGTGTGTGTCTCCCTGTCCTTGGAGCTCAGTGGGAGACGCCAGCGTCATGATGACAGATGTTGTCTCTTTGCAGCCCAGGGCTCAGCACACAGTAGGGACTTTCTGGTACTTGCTGAACTAACTGGTGAGGGGATGCCAGTCTGTTGCCTGGCAACAGTTGAGCCAGAGCTATATGCCTCAGAGAGAAAAGGACACATGGAAAGAAAGGGGTCTGGGGGCTCTGAGTGTGGAGATTGGGGTTGGGGGGTGGCGTTGAGTGTCATTGTGTGTCCTGTGTTCAAGCCAGTAATGAAGCAGGTTGAAAAGGGTCCAGGGGAGACAGCTGAGAGGGGAGGCCGCTGGCAGAGCTGTGGGTCGATAGACTGAGGGGTGCAATCCTGAAATGTGACCTTTCCACAGTCCTGCACTGTAGGGGCTGGGAAACCATGTGGTGCAGTCAAGCTTAGGCAACACATACTTCTTTTATTGGTTGGGGGTAAGATATGAGACAGAGTCTCAGTGAGTAGCCCAGGCTAGATTTGAACCAATGATCTTCCGGACTCAGCTTCCCAAGTGCTGGCATGCACCCCCAGGCCCAGCTGAGGGTCTGTATATCCTGGGACTCTCTGATCTCTTACCCTCAAGCTGAGGTTGGCCAGCAGCCAGGAAGGGAGCCATGACTTTGAGAAACCAACTCAATCTTTGTCTTGTTTCCTTGATCCCTAAAATGGGCGGATCTATCTTCAAGAGTCATCATGAGCTTAATGACTTTTTAAAGATTATTATTGTTGTTGTTTTTCAAGACAGGGTGCTGTGGGATGTTAATGTATGTCCTGTGGGAGCCCTTCTTGGGTTCCTTGTGGCGTTACCCAGCAGGTTTGCATAGAGAATGATTAGGACCATGGGCCTGAGTGCAGGTGTCTGAGATGGTCTGCACTTGGCTGTACTGGGGGATGGTCTGTATGTCAAGTTGCTCTGATTGGTCAATAAGTAAAACCTGATTGGTCGTGGCTAGGCAGGAAGTATAGGCGGGACTAACAGAGGAGAAATAAAAGAACAGGAAGGCAGAAGGAAACGCTGCCAGCCACTGCCAGGACAAGCAGCATGTGAAGATGCTGGTAAGCCACGAGCCACGTAGCAAGATATAGATTTGTAGAAATGCGTTACTTTAAGATATAAGAATAGTTAACAAGAAGCCTGCCACGGCCATACAGTTTGTAAGCAATATAAGTCTCTGTGTTTACTTGGTTGGGTCTGAGCGGCTGTGGAACTGGCAGGTGACAGAGATTTGTCCTGACTGTGGGCAAGGCAGGAAAACTCTAGCTACAACAGGGTTTTTCTGTGTCCTGGCTGTCCTAGAACTTGCTCTGTAGCTCAGGTTGGCCTGGAACTCACAGAGATCTGACTGCCTCTGCCTCCCAAGTGCTGGGATTAAAGGCCTGTGTCGCCACCACTCAGCTTAAAGATTTATTTTTAATAGCGTCTGTATGTCCATGTATGGGTATGCGCACATGAGTGCAAGTGCTCTTGGAGACCGGAGGAGGGTGTCAGAGCCACTGGAGTGGGAGTTACAGGTGGTGGTGAGCTGCCAGATGTGGATGCTGGGAACCGAACTTGGGTCCTCTGCAAGAGCAGCAAGTGCTTTTAACTCTAGCCAGTATGGCTTTCAAGTACCTGGGGAGGACTTAGAATGGGCCTGGCACACGTTCATTGTCCAGTAGAGCAGGACTATAACTGTGGCCTTCCCATTCTTGTCCTCTGGTGCTTATTCACACATGCTCTGGGGTGCCACATGCTCTGGGGTGCCAGCTTTTGCTAATCGTGGTCCTGCTTGTCCTTCTGCCAGGTCCTGGCCAACAAGAGCCGCCTCTGGGTTGAGGAAGAAGTCTGGCGCATGGAGATATACCTGTCCCTGGGCGTGCTGGCCCTGGGTGCGCTGTCCCTGCTGGCTGTCACCTCACTTCCGTCCATTGCCAACTCGCTCAACTGGAAGGAGTTCAGCTTCGTGCAGGTAAAGCAGATTTCCCCTGGAGAGCCAGTGCAGCTTGGCCCTGGTCCACCCTGCCTTTGCGCTCTAGGAACCATTTCAGCTGGTTGTAGCAGGATACCGGCTCAGGTGCTGAGGACTCCCCATCTTGTAGGGTCTCCCAGCCTCCCGATCCTGCTTCAGCTTGCCCAGGGCAAGTTCATCCACCTGACCCTGAAAAGCCTACCAGATCTGACAAAGTATGGAACCCTGGCCTGAACTTCCTCAGGGGACACAGGATGTTTCCATACAGAGTCATTGCAGGATCCTGGTGTACAGAGGACGCAGTGAGCTGTGAGTGTGCTTAGAAACTCCCTCCACCAACACACACCCTCAGCTCAACTTCTACCAACATATACACACCCTCAGCTCAACCTCCACCGACACACACAGACCCTCAGCTCAACCTCCACCGACACACACAGACCCTCAGCTCAACCTCCACCAACACACACAGACCCTCAGCTCAACCTCCACCAACACACACAGACCCTCAGCTCAACCTCCACC